TCACACTACATGGTGTTTTCTTCCTTTGAGTACACAAATTTCAGCACTTTTTACCTTGTGTTATATTTTTCTGACCACTTGTAAAATGACCAACTCATTCAAATTTACCCAGGACCTTCCAGGTTTTAAAACTGAGAGTTCCAGGCCTTGAGAAACCCCATAGTCCTAGGCAAACTGAAGTGGGTGGTCGCCCGTCTTGTGTGCCTCCCCACTGGAGGATGGGCCTCTGTGGTAGAGGGGTTGTTTCCTATTCAGCTTGGTGTCCCCATGCCTAACACACCGATGAATTCATGAATTCATACATGAGACTTAAAGGACTTAAGCCATTCAGTCAGACACCAGTGGAAGAGGATTTATTAGCCTAGTCTCTTCATACAAAAAGATCTTGAAACAGTGGAGTCTTTTAGTTTCCCTTTAGATAAGTTCCATCCTACCTTGAAGGTGGTGACTTGCTACTTTTCTTCAATCTAGAGGCTAAAGGTTATAAAATACCTTTGTTAACAATAATCTCCTCCTGCACCCAGCATTAACATGTAGGAGAGATGTTTTATGGGAATAAAAAGGTCGGATAGGGAACAACATTTTTAAATGCATACCTACTGGCTCTGAAATTTTTGAAAATGAGTCGATGTATCTTGTAGGTCATAGAGGCTTCATGGCATGATGAAAAGTACACACTGCCATTACTGCTAGGAGTAAAGTATCAAGTTTTCCACATTATTGGTAAATAGTAGTGGCTAAGTGATGAATCCCCCTATACATAAGATACACACGAAATACATATTATAGGTTAATGTCTTAACTAAATAATTTAGTACTACTAATGGGGACGGAAAGGGGAGAGAGCTCATTTATCTGAAAATATATCCACATTTGGGAAGCTCAACCTCTTGGGGGATAGAGGACAGATTCTTGTGCTGTAAGAGTTTCAGTGCCAATATATGGATACTCTGGTCAGTCAGCTGTGACTGCACCACCCACCAAACACTGTACCCCAGTCCAGACACCCTCCCATCCAGGAAGAGCTGGAGAAAGTTAGCACTAGAATGACTCAATCTTCCCACCCACATTCCCCTCAGGCATAGTAGGGAACAATGAATGGACAATTGTAGGATGAAAATTATCACAAGTGATAGAATTGGGAAGAATTCTTTCAGGAGAAAGGATTCAAGCATTCTGTTTCTTTTTTGAATGCTCCAAGTAAAATAGATTCCATCTTCCATGAATGCAAAATTCATATTTTAAAATAAAGTGTATTTAAAATACTAGTGTTTAGTACTTTTAAAATTCAACTTTTGAAAGCACTGTAAGGTCTACATTGTACTGTGTAAACCCTATTTTATCGTTCTTTTTGTTCTGTTTTACCTCCTCTGCTAGACTACATGTCTGATTGATCTTTGCCCTTCCCTGCACCCCTTACCATTGTGCCTAGCAACGAGTATTTGATAAACAAATAATTAATGAATCATGATAGCATTTATTGTATACTTCATCCAGGCTCTGGTCTTAAGTGGTTTACTCATTTTAATTCGTTTATTACACAACTTTTATGAGGCCAGTGTTATTTTTGTCCCAAATTTACAATGAAAAATTCTGAAGTACAGAGAGTGTAAATGATGTGCCCAAGGTCACATGCATAGAATGTAGTAGGGCCTGGATTTGACTGCCAGCAATGGGACTGCAGTGATCAAACTCTAATACACTGTACTGCCTTCTGGGAAGA